TCTGGTCTTTGGTTTGTTGATCTATATTGGGCTTGAGAAGCCCATTTAAAAGTTGAGAGAGATTTGTCAGTCGTACGGTAATACTGTTCAAGTTGTGGGCCGCCTAAATAGAAAAAAAATCCATGAACAAACATGTTCACCTTTCTGGCACATGTGGCCGCGCAAATATAAAAACACGGACTAAATATTTTACAGTCAGTTTTTTATTACAGTCCGGAGTGTAATAACTAAAAGTCTTTTTTTTTTTTTTTTTTGAACTTAGTGAAAAGCATATCATTTCATCAAAACCATACGCGATCTACATAAAAAATTATGATCTCATTGATAAGAAGAAATTACAAACAAATAAAACACAACTGAAGAGAAAATAAAAAGTAGATCAACTTCAACATAAGATAGATAAAAAAGGAGCAGTGACTATTTCACACGAACAACCGCTAAGGAAATAGATTTTTACAAATTCCTTTGGTTGATTATTTCAGAAAATTGGACACCCTTCAACCTACTGTTGCATAAATTACACTTGTTCTTCAAGATGTCATGGATGGAACATTAGAGTAAGTGACGACCATCCCCAAAATTCTACATGACTTGTTGGTCACCAGATCTAAACAAACCAAAACAAGAAACAAGAAACAGAAAGAAAAGAGAACAAAGGCCACCAAAAAGGCCACAAAAGAATCAGGAGACCATCTAAGGTGGTTACCAGACATAAGAGCATGGTTGATCGGCTCCACCATACTTGAGAAACCCTCCAACTACTCAAGCATCAAAAGCTCGAGAAGCCTGGAGGCTTCCAAGTACCCAGAAAGGGGATGAAAACTGGAGGAGTTTTGAGGCAAATACTAGAAAGTTTTAGAGGAGAGAGAGAAGAAAGAGATTTTATACTAAAAGTCTTAATTGAATGGACTAAGTTTATAGTTTGGTTAAACCCTTAATTGGTTCCTTAATTATTGTATGGATTCTTAAAGTGGTTTATAAACTAAAAAAATTCTTAATTTGGTTTTTAAAGTTCCTAAATTTGCCCTCAAGTTAGTCCTTTTATATGAAAATAACTAATGTTTTTGGCAAAATACCCAAATCCACCCCCAAAGTATAGTGGCAGGGACGGATCCACCCTCAAACAAAAAACGGGGACAAATCCACCCATAAAGTTTTCGACTTGGACAAATCACCTCAAATTTAACGTGTGACGTCATTTGACATCAGCAATTCGTTAATTCGTTAATGGATTGCTGACGTCAGATGACGTCAATTAACAGATTGCTGATGTCAAATGATGTCACACGTTAAATTTGGGATGATTTGTCCAAGTCGAAAACTTTGTGGGTGGATTTGTCCCTGTTTTTTGTTCGAGGGTGGATCCGTCCCTGCCATTATACTTTGGGGGTGGATTTGGGTATTCTGCCTATGTTTTTTGTTACTAACATGCGTATGGCTCTTAAATAATGTTTTTTGTTATTAAATAACAAATACATTAGTTGTTTTTTAATGAAAAGAATCAACTTCTGGTTAAATTTAGAAATTTTAAGGACTAAAATAGAGAATTTTCAATTTAGGGATTAACTCTTGTAGAATAGTTAAAGGACTAAATTAAGGTTTGTATCAAAATTATCCCTAAATTATCAAAATTACATCAAAATTATCCTTTAACTTCAAAAAGTACAAAAATTATCCCTAAATTTTAACTTTTAATAAAAAAATCCTTTTATTAATAGAAATATCATTTAACTCATTACTTTACCACAAAATCAATTTTTTAAAAAGACTAATAACATGTAAAATCAAACGATTATATTTTATCATTATGATATATTTTTATTTACATATCAAATTAATATATAATCAAAATTAAAAAATAAAATTAATATTTATAATCAACATTCAATAACTAAATTGATACTTATCTTCGACTAAATTGGTATTGTATTTAAAGTTTGAGAATTATTTTGACATTAAAAATTAAAGTTTAGGAATAATTGTAACATAAAGCTAAAATTTGAGGGACCAAATTATTATTTTAATCAAAAAAATGAAGCCGAAGGTCGTCGTGGAAGCCGAGTCCACAGTCACAGAAAGAAATTGAGTTTACAGCGAAGAAGCGAAAAGCCAGAAACGAAGCGATGGCTCAAGTTAAGCCACATCATCATCATCCTCT